GGGCTTCTAGTCCGACAAAACTCGTGCCCGCCTGCACTGCCGCGACACCAGCAGGGCGAAGCAGGCACGCCCAGCGGCGGCCTGCAGGACGGCGGCCCCATGCTGCCCAACCAGCAGCACTCGCAGTTCGAGTACCCCATCCACCGGCTGGAGAACCGGAGCATGCACCCTTATTCCGAGCCCGTGTTCAACATGCAGCACCCCCCTTCGCAGCAGGCGCCCAACCAGCGGCTGCAGCATTTCGACGCTCCCCCCTACATGAACGTGGCCAAGAGGCCGCGCTTCGACTTCCCGGGCAGCGCCGGAGTGGACCGCTGCGCCTCGTGGAACGGGAGCATGCCCAACGGCGCTCTGGATAACCACCTCTCGCCCTCTGCCTACCCGGGCCTGCCCGGCGAGTTCACGCCGCCCGTGCCCGACAGCTTCCCATCGGGGCCGCCCTTGCAGCACCCGGCTCAGGACCACCAGTCTTTGCAGCAGCAGCAACAGCAACAGCAACAGCAGCAACGCCAAAACGCGGCCCTCATGATTAAGCAGATGGCGTCGCGGAATCAGCAGCAGCGGCTGCGCCAGCCCAACCTGGCCCAGTTAGGCCACCCCGGGGAGGTGGGCCAGGGCGGCCTGGTGCACGGCGGCCCTGTTGGCAGCTTGGCCCAGCCGGCCTTTGAGCGCGAAAGTGGCGGCGCGGGCGCGGGGCGCCTGGGCACCTTCGAGCAGCAGGCGCCACACTTGGCGCAGGAGAGCGCGTGGTTCCCAGGCCCGCACCCGCCGCCTGGAGATTTGCTGTCCCGCAGGATGGGCGGCTCAGGCTTGCCTGCTGACTGCGGTCCGCACGACCCAGGCCTGGCGCCGCCCCCTCCGCCCGGCGGCTCAGGGGTGCTGTTCCGGGGCCCTCTGCAGGAACCGCTGAGGATGCCCGGAGAGGGCCACGTGCCCGCGCTGCCCTCGCCCGGCTTACAGTTCGGGGGCAGCCTGGCGGGTCTGGGCCAGCTGCAGTCGCCCGGGGCTGGGGTGGGGCTGCCCAGCGCGCCCTCGGAGCGCCGGGCTCCGCCGCCGGACTTC